CACTGACCCCTGCAGTACCTTCATGAACCACAGGGGTCCATAATCTCCCCTATTAAAAGCCCTGTACACGATAAAGTTCTTTTTACCCTAGTAGTTACTTTATAGCGAGTGTGGAAGTGTGGAAGATGCTGTTGATTATTTTAACTGCTCTTCCGCAGATGGTGGGTAGATGTTGAGCTGGAGACGTTCTGATCATCATCTAACTCTAATGATGTTATTTAATGCATTTTATATACAGCAGGTGCATTAAAAAAGTCGAATTAAATTAAAACTAAAACATGAATAAAAGTTTATCACGCTATTATAAGACTAATCTTACTATATAGGAGTGAAATTTGGGAACTAATATTATTATATTATTCTGCTTTGTCTGTATAAGTATAAATGAATAATATAATATAATATAATATTATATAATATAATATAATATAATATAATATAACATAATATAATATAATATAATATAATATAATATAATATAATATAATATAATATAATATAATATAATATAATATAATATAATATAAAGTTCTAAAACAATCACAAATATGAGCGCACTTCCGCATTGAAGAATAAAGTCAATAGTGTGAATTTACACACTATATATACTGTTGACATTGAAATTAGTACCCCCCTCCCCCCAATTTCTGTTTAACGGAGAGAAGATTTTTTTCAACACATTTCTAAACATATTAGTTTTAATAACTAATTTCTAATAACTGAATTATTTTATCTTTGTCATTATGACAGTTAATATTTGCCTAGATATTTTTCAAGACACTTCTATACAGCTTAAAGTGACATTAAAAAGCTTAACTGTTAATTAGGTTAACTAGGCAGGTTAGGGTAATTAGGTAAGTTATTGTATAACAATGGTTTGTTCCGTAGACTATCGAAAAAAAATATATATAGCTTAAAAGGGCTAATGTTTTTGACCTTAAAAAATTTAAAAACTGCTTTGATTATAGCCGGAAAAAAACAAATAAACAAACAAACAAAAAAACAAAACAAAAACAAATAAGACTTTCTCTAGAAGAAAAAAAAATATTAGACTTTTTTTTTGAAAATTTCCTTGCTTTGTTAAACATCATTTGGGAAATATTTGAAAAAGAAAGAAAAAAAATCAAAGGGGGGGGGGGACTTTAACTGTATAATGCAGACCTCAGTTCTAGAATCAAATCACTGCAGAGCCTTCTGAAATAATAAATATCACCAATTATTGCATTTAAATGAAGATTCTTCTGCCAAAACTTGCTGGGCCTCATCTATGAAACATTTGTAAATATATAAGTAAATTCCAGTAATCTGCGCATAAAGCAAATTAATATTCTAGATTCCTTTTAAGGTTTGGCTTCAGTGTATTATGCATATAAAGGCATAAAAGAATGATGCAGTATGCCTTATGTTTAATAACAATTCAAAATTTTATTCATTTGTGTCCACCAAAACATTTTTTGCCATGCAGCTTCAAAATGGCAGCTGCTCTTCAAAAAACGTCCAGCTGGTGGTGCTTGACGATGCTTTTGGTGGCACAGAATTTTCCCAGCTGAGACAGTTGTGTTGCTATGATTAAATCCATAGCAGCAATGCATTAGTATCTCATTTTGAAGAATAAATATATAGCAATGCAATAACCAGTTAAATTAACTTCTGTTGTTGTAAAAATACAGTTGGATGATCGGTGAATTTATAGATAAATACTGACGAGTTAGTAGAATAGTTGAATGTTTATCAACTTGTAGCTTTTAAATATGTATGCCAGTGCATCAAATCCAATGTAAACAGAAGTATTACCTAACATTTATATCTGGTAAGGAGAGCGGTAGGGCTGCACTAGCTGTTCATTGGGTAAACTGCAATGTAAAGTCCACGTCTACGTACTCGAGCTGGTACCACATTTGAATTAACTTAACTGTTAGAAAAATATGTTCCAAGTATGAATATGAATAGAATGGAAATCTGATGTCATGCATCTGCCATTATCACATGACCTAACTTCAGTTGCATCGCTTCATTCTCCAATCAAAACTTCTCGTCTACTTTTTTCCAATGAATTTAAACATACTACTCAGCTTATATACTGTTTTTCACTCTATGATGTTGGGATTCATGCAATTTCGGACATGCTGTTAGTAAGTACTAGTTTTGACTAAATCAGTACTTTCTTTGGTTTACCACCTAAAGTCAGAATGTACAGTAGTAAGCAGGTTGCAATCTCTCCCTTAGGTAATATACTGCATTATACAGTTAAAGTCATAATTATTAGCACCTCCCGTTTTCCCCCAATTTCTATTCAATGTAGAGAATTTTTTTCAGCACATAACTTTCTAAACATAATAGTTTTAATAACTCATTTCTAATAACTGATTTATTTTCTCTTAATTTTCTCTCAGTAAATAATATTTTACTAGATTTTTTCAAGACACTTCTATACAGCTTAAAGTGACATTTAAAGGCTTAACTAGGATAATTAACTAGGCAGGTTAGGGTAATTATAGCAAGTTATTGTATAACGATGTTTTGTTCAGTAGACTTTCGAAAAAAAAAAAAAAGCCTAAAGGGGCTAAAAAGTTTGATCTGAAAAATTATTCTTGCCAAAATAAAACAAATAAGACTTGCAGAAGAAAAAATATTATCAGACATACTGTGAAAATGTCCTTGCTCTGTTAAGCATCACTTGGGAAATATTAAAAATAAATAAATAAATAAAAGGGGGGCTAATAATTCTGACTTCAACTGTATATACAATTTGAAAGGGAGCTCCTTTTAATCAATGAAAACATATTTTTCATTGTGATCTCACAAAGATTTAATCAAAGAATCTCTCAACACCGCACAGTGAGTTGCTTATTTACATTGTGAATCTTCCATCTTGTTGTTTAGGGCTGTGAGTAATGTCGTTGTTTTTTTGGAAAATGACAGCTCAGGAGTGCGTTTCCCAAACATCGATGTAACTTGCGGCTGAACTATCAAAGTACGATGCATCATTTGGGAAAAGAATGATGTAGTGATGAGTGTTTCCCAAAACGCATTTCTCTGTCACTGTTACGATAACCAGCGATCGTTCTCAGGACATCGCTGGTTTCCACTTTACTTGAACTGCACTTCCGCATATCCCAGGACTACATTTAAATACATGCACTTCTTCCAAACACGCACGTCTGGTCATTCATCTATCCTGATTGCAATCACCAGCTGAACCTTGTCACAGACAGATATCACACCATACTTAAGCCACACATTCACGCTTCCAGTTTGCCGAGTCTTGTTGTTTTTCACAGTAGCATTACAACGCGTTTTCCAGTCTTGTTATCCCGTGTACCGACCGTTAGCCTTGTTAGCCTCGTTGTCTTTGCCTGCCGCCTGCCTTTCTGACCTCTTGCATGTATTAGACTGCGATTCTGGATTGTCCTCTTACCCCTGTTTGCACCTGTGTTGACCACTGCTTGCCTGACCACCGATTAAACCTGCATTTGGATCTTACTTCAGTTGTTTGAGTCACAACAGTCTTCCAGTCACAACAGAAGACTCGGCCACTATGGATCCAGCAGTGTTTTTGGTTCGTCTACGCCAAGGTAATCGATCCCTCGAGAACCACATCCAGTGTTATTTGGAGACTGCTAACACCACTGAATTACCAGACTGTATGCTCATTGACCTTTTTATGTATGGGCTTAATAAGCCGCTAAAGAGCACACTTTCAAGTGTTCATTCTCGAGGGACATTCTCTGATTTTTTGGACTATGCGCTACTCACTGTGGACTCTTCCTTCACCGTAGGCGAGGTGGAGGAAACTCCTAAATGTTTTTTGGGGAGGGGCAGTGTACAGCAAGACCAGGGGCCTCATGTATCAATGCTGCGTACGCACAAAAACTTTGCGTACGCCAGGTTTCACGCTCAGAATCGCTCACGTTTGGATTTACTAACAATGAACTGAACGTGGGAATGTGCGCAGCTTCACGGCAGCTTTCTGGCAGGCGTACGCACATTTTTTGTGCATGTCTGTTTTATTTCCATTGGCGACTCCTAGAGGCAGTTGTGTTAAATTCCTCTGTACAAAGTGTCTGAGCCTTGCAATGGCAGCTGTATGAGGCGGGTTCAGCAGGTATATAAGGTTTCCATACCAAACATTTGACCAGCTAAACATTAAAGCACAATTTGCAGCGGTCGCCTGTTTTCCCAATGTAATCTGAGCGATCTACCGTTCGCACATTGCTATAAAGACACTATCTGAAGATGAATTTGCATGCGTGAATCAGAAACATTTCCATTCAATAAATGTGCAAATAAAATATGATGCTTATTGATATGAACTTATTGATGATGCCTACTTGTCTTTCTTGTGATAAATAGTAGGCAAAATCTGATATGTAGCGGGGGAAAAAGAAGAAAGAGTTCATCAGATGCTGGATTCGAGCCGAGTTCATGCTCGAACGTATAAAGTCATGATCACATTCGTCTTACGAGTAGCGCCACTGAGACTGTTAAGCGTCATGCAACATTTTATAGATATAAACCACACTATTTCTTTTATTAATGCACTCAGTGCGATGTTCAGACCCAACTGTGTTGACCGAATCAGCTAAACTCTCCCACTCTATTCTCTACTCTACTCTATAAATCTTTTTTTCTTTTGTTGTTAATTCCGGAGAACAAACTTGCAAATAACACCGCTTTCCTCCGGTCTACCTCTGAAAGCAGCACCTCCATTTCACATTCTGTTCAAAGTTTCTCTTTTTGCTTGCTTTTGCCTTAGCGTTTTCGTTGGGTTTTGCCATTAGCATAGTCATTAGCATATTCATACGGGGGAGGAGGCAGGGAGGGGTTTTGTGCTCGTGCATGTTGCGCTCAGTTTCACGTTCATTTAGATGTACAAAAGAATATGCGTGAGATTCGGCGTACGCAGTGTTTCATACATCTGAATTTTTTTCTGCGTACGCACATTTACAGTTTTGTGCGTACGCAATGTTTTAGTAAGATTTCCACGCAAGTCTTCGTACATGAGGCCCCAGATAACACCAAGGCTTGCTGATCATTCCACCACCACACATCCAGCTCACAAGATGGTCACTTCCAGTGTGCCAGCTCACAAGATGGCTTTCTGTCCTGAATCTGTTCCTGTCCCTGAAAGGCCATCTCCAGAGCTGCCAGACCCTCCAGAGCTGCCAGACCCTCCAGAGCTGCCAGACCCTCCAGAGCTGCCAGACCCTACAGAGCTGCCAGACCCTCCAGTGCTGCCAGACCCTCCAGTGCTGCCAGAGCCTCCAGTGCTGCCAGATCCTCTAGAGCTGCCAGAGTCACTGCCATCGCCAGAGCTGCCACCGCCAGAGCTGCCAGCGCTGCAGCCAGAGTCGATGCCGCAGCCAGAGTTTATGCCGCAGCCAGCGCCGCAGCTAGAGCCGCAACCAGCGCCGCAGTCAGAGTCGATGCCGCAGCCAGAGTCGACGCCACAGCCAGCACCGCAGCCAGAGTCTACGCCGCAACCAGCGCCGCACCCAGAGTCGACGCCGCACCCAGAGTCAACGCCGCACCCAGAGTCAACGCCGCAGCCAGAGTCGACGCCGCAGCCAGCGCGGCAGCCAGAGTCGACGTCGTCGCTTCCCGAACAGACACAGCTCCCCGTCCAACCTGCATCATCCAGACTCCTTGCCTTGCCGATCACAGCCCGGATCCTCGCCTTGCCGGCGCCTCTCAGACGGTTCGCCTTGCCGGCTCCCTACAAGCCTCCAGCCCTGCCAACTCCTCGCAGTACTCCAGGTCCTCTGCAGCCTCATGATCCCGAGCCACTACAGCTCCATGTTCCAGACCCTCCGCAGCCTCATGATCCAGGGCCACTGCAGCTCCACGCTCCAGGTCCTCCGCAGCTCCACTCTCCGGGTCCTCCGCAGCTCCATGCTCCAGGCCCTCCACAGCTCCACTCTCCGGGTCTTCCGCAGCTTCACTCTCCAGGCCTTCCTCAGCTCCATGCTCCAGGCCCACCTCAGCTCCACGCCCCAGGTACGCCTCAGCTGCATGGTCCTGGCCCTCCATCCCTCCCCCTGTTCCGCCTCCGCTCCACCTCCCGCCTGAACTGTATTTTGGAGTGTCTAGAAGCCACTCTTTAGAGGGGGGGTTATGTTACGATAACCAGCGATCATTCTCCAGAGATCGCTGGTTTCCACTTTACTTGAACTGCACTTCCGCATGTCCCAGGACTACATTTTCATACATGCACTTCTTCCAAACACGCACGTCTGGTCATTCATCTATCCTGATTGCAATCACCAGCTGAACCTTGTCACAGACTGATATCACACCATACTTAAGCCACACATTCACGCTTCCAGTTTGCCGAGTCTTGTTATCTTTCACAGTAGCATTACAACGCGTTTTCCAGTCTTGTTATCCCGTGTACCGACCGTTAGCCTTGTTAGCCTCGTTGTCTTTGCCTGCCGCCTGCCTTTCTGACCTCTTGCATGTATTAGACTGCGATTCTGGATTGTCCTCTTACCCCTGTTTGCACCTGTGTTGACCACTGCTTGCCTGACCACCGATTAAACCTGCATTTGGATCTTACTTCAGTTGTTTGAGTCACTTCCAGTCACAACAGTCACAGATCCATCGCTTGAGCCATGTTAGTTATAACGTAATACGCCCATAATGACACTCAAAGTAACTACTTATTTGGGAAGAACCCTATCATTTTTTTGTGCAAATTATATTGTTTTACACAAACATCCATTTAAAATAAAATCCAATAATAAATTTGGTAAAAACATGCTCTCACTTTCCATATTGACTAAAATATATGTACATGGCACATATGGGGCCTATGTTTCCTTTACAAATATTATTGAGAATATGACATATCCTATTCTAAAACATAAAATCACTTACAAACGCTAACACCTATTCTAATATCATACATAAATTATATAAATAAATAAATAATGAGGCGATTTATTGAGAAATGAGATTTAATATTTAGTATGATTAGAAATTAAATAATTATACTTTAATAGCATTAATAATATTAATGATGATGATGATTATTATCATAATTACTAAGGATGATACTTTTTTTATTTATTTTTAAATTTTTTTTTTTTTAGAAATTTATAAATTTTTTTACTTTTACATTTTGACACTTGTAAACCACAGCAGAAAGTAACCAACAGGCCCATGTCATATACAGTGCAGATACTTAATAAATAACCTATTATAAATTAAAAGATTTAACATATTATTTCTATTTTTCTCTAAATAATGTTCAAAATGCCTGCAAAAATATTTGCAAATATTCTTTGTAAAGATCCGATCAGAAAAAGATCAGATCTAACGACAATTATATAATTGTGTATAGGTGGTCATTTTGGGGCGATATAAACACACATATAAACAATATTAACAGTCCTTTTTTTTAAATGTTTAAATAACAAACTTTTTTTTTAATTTTTGCTATTGAAAGTTTGTCATTTAAAAAAATCTGTTTCAGTGTTTTTTTTTTTCTTTTTTGAAATATAGCTTAGGATGCATTAAATAGCACCTTGACAGATTCTCCTCAGCCAGGATGAATAAATGTTATCAGGACCACATTCAAAACCAAGGGATACAAAAATGTTCCCAGAATACACAATCTACAACGGCAGCATGCCTGCACACAGAAGTCAGGAGATGCAAAAATTTGTATTTTTTGTCCTAATTATAACATTTTTATAACAAACAAGCATATGTTTTAATATATTCATACCGGTGTTCGTGTTTTACCATCATGCACAAAAAAAATTAAATAAATAATAATAAATTACATTTATAATCTATAATAATTACTAGTAGTCCCACAACATTCACATCTGACACTCGATGACACGCGAATACCCTGTAAAAAGAGTCTAGTGGCTGGGAATGAGCTTTTTTTTACAGTGTCTGGTAAAAACAAAACTACCACTGTTATATATTACAAATTCTTTGTTTAAGAGACTCAAAAATGACAATCTTATTATGCTTTACTCACCCTTCAGTTTTTCAAAACCTGTCTGAGTTTGTTTCTTCTGTTGAACACAAAAGAATATGTTTTGAAGAAAGATGAAAACCTGTAACCAATGACTTTCTTAGTATTTGCTTTTTTAGCTTTCTTCAAAATATATGCTTTACTGTTAATCAGAATAAAGAAACTTATAAAGATTTGAAACCACTTGAGGGAGAGTAAATAGTGAGTACATTTAAATTTTGGGGTGAACTCCTTCAAGAATGGCCCTTACGCATTTTTTCCATCACTGAACGCCCAGACTGCTGCTCAGTTCTAACACAAAGTACTGTATTAACACGCATATTGACCAGAAACAAAATTAGCACACAACTGTAATATTTTCCACTGACTCAGGTCAAGCTTATGTCATTCTGGTCAACAATTACTGAAACTTTAAAAGAAGTCCACTTGGCCCACCATCTACTTTTTGGTTTACTAGAACTTAACACATTCTGCATAATGAGGGGCAGCACAGCCATTTGTACACTTCCTCTCGCCGAATAAAGTGTGAAGATGTGGTTTATCTTCGCTCATCGACACAACAACTCTCTACAAATAGCTCAGAGGACATCTTTTGTGTGATTTCGAAACAGGAAATGCGCATGTGGTTATAAATGTAGGTCTTTATATTTACTTTCATATAATGCCAGAAAGGACTGGTGTAGTAGAAAGGGCAGTAGCACACAAACTCATAAAATTGAATCTTTTATGATACTAAACATAATCACATTAAAATGTGCGTTGAGAATGTCAGAGGGTGAACAAAATGGCATCTTGAAACCAATATTGTCTGTTAAAGAAGTAGGTGACTGCTGGGTGGGAGCTGGTTTTGTTTTAAGGTCTTGTTGAGATGTGGAAGATCCCATTAAGGGTGAATACAACGTTTGTGGTTTCACAGCCCCTTTAAGGCCTCTGTAGTTTCCACTCACATTCAGCAGACCCACACTGTATACCCATTGCTCACAAAGTGCAAGAAAGTTATGATTTTAGATGCAAGAAGCTTCAATTTTAGCCTTCATTTTCAGTGTTGCAACTTAGTTGTAGCATGACATTATTGCTGTAGAGACATTGTGTGACTTGAAAAGTCAGGAGTTATGACCATATATAAATGGTTTGTGAATGTAGTCAGGTCTTAACAGTATATATTTGTTTTATTATTTTATGTGAGCTTTTTTTTAATAATTGATTAAGAAAGTAATCAGTTACCCAAAGCACATGCTAAACTATTTTTAATCATATATATATATATATATATATATATATATTATTCTAACTAAAATACATTAATCAATAACATAAAATCCAAACATTTAGTTTGTGATATGAAAACTATTCATTCGTTAATTTTCCCTGGCTTAGTTCCTTTATTCATCATTCCCTACAGCAAAATGAACCGCCAACTGATCCAGCAAAATGTATGCCGGGCTGTGGCTGGAAAGGCATCCGCTATGTACACAGCACATGCCCTTCCAGGTGCAACCCAGTACTGGGAAACACCCATACACACTCATTCATACACATTCGCTACAGCCAATTAGTTAATTCAAAACACTTGTACTGCTTGTCTTTGTACTGTGGGGGAAACCAGAGCACCCGGAGGAGTTCTGTCTGGTTCTTGAATCTGATTGGCTGATAGTCGTGAAATATTCTGCAAATAAAAGCACTAGTACAGCCTCTTCACCCTTCACCCTTGTGTATTACTCCGCCCACATACAGCAACAAGCAGAGGACACTACAGTTTGACAAATATTGCAGCTATTGGACAACAATCCGTCTTTCGGATGAGACGTTAAACCGAGGTCCTGACTCTCTGTGGTCATTAAAAATCCCATGGCACTTCTAGTAAAAAGCAGGGGTGTCAAAGTCCCTCAATCGGCCCTCACTACCATGGCCTCCCGATCATTCCCATCTGCCGAATTGGTTGATGGTGTGGACAGACAGACCCCCCCATACCCCCCCCCCCCCCCCCCCCCCCCACCACCAATGAATGTGAAGCGATTTGGGTGTATGGCCACACACAATAAATGCGCTATATAAATACACATTACATTAAATTACACTACATTACATAATGTACCTTTAAGGTGTTTTTTTTTCTAATCGAGAATGTGCAGTAGTTGTTTAGATGTAGTCATAGTAGCAACTTTGTAGTTTATTTATAAGGATAGTGCCCATTTTTTATATTTATAATTTCGGAGCATCGGATTTAGTGCATTGGCCGCCACCAGCCTGTGTGACTAAAAAAAGTGACGTTGATGTTTCACCACAAGGTGGTGACAGAGACCACATAATAAGTGCTTATAGGAGAAAAATGCATTTTCTCAGTGTAAATTTCAAACTAAAGCTGAACGCATCATTACAAATTAGGTTACTGACATTCTAAGTCAATCTCTTGCTCTTTCTTGCATTTTGTAGTGCTGTATTTATACCACAGAAGTAGTTTTAGCTTTGCTCTTGCTTTTTTGGGTTAATTATTGTAAAATTCCAATTGCTACAGAGAAATACTGGGAAATCTCTGTAGACTGATGGCACTTCATGCTGGTCAGCCTTATAATCTTAAAATGTGAGCAAAATCACCTGTTTTATCATCACTTTAAACATTACGCTAGAGAATCTTTCAGATACTTACCCTTAAGTGACGTTTGTGAACCGGCAACAGTTTTTGCTGTTCTGACGTCAGCTGCAGACGTGAATGAATGATGGAAGAAAGTAGTTTCTCATACAAAAAGGGTTTTGAGAGTCCGCATTTGATTTTCTTTATACACACG